CTGTATCATCACTTGAACAAGAAATAAGTTTCAGTCCCTTCACATATGATAGAAAGTATTTGGCACTAAAAACCCACCATATGTCATTTTCTGTTGTAGATGTAAACTGCACTTCATCTGACAAAATGCCATTAAACTCAGGACATCACCTCTTTTGGGCTCTGTGACTGCATGCAGGTCAGTGGTGTTTTAATTTAGTTCATTTATTGTAAAATTGTGCATAGTCCTGTTTTTACACCCAACTGCAATGTTTTATGTTTGTGAAAATACAAAATTTGCACTACAAATGTTAGGTCTTCACTGTATTCTGGTTTGTGTGTGAGAGACATGTTAAACCAGGAGATGCATTTGACACACAGTTGAAAGAAAAGTTAACTCTCACAAGTCACACCAGATTGTTATAAGACTAAAACAATGGTAAAAGAACATGTTCACACATTATATATCAGTGAAATTGAACTTTATTATGATAATACACAGTAGAATCTGCAGATATTAAGCAGTGTTTGGATTATTCAGTCACATCACTGAGCACACATGTAATCCAGTAACATCCTCAGATATTTACAACCAGGAGTACTGTGTAGAAGCTGTGTAAATTCCAGGCTGGAGCAGGAATCCTCAGAACCTGCAGCAGACACCACATCCGCTCATATTAGGACAGCAATTGCAGCAAAAGCGACAGCCACCGGGGCTGCTGTGACGCTTGTGTCTGTTGTTATACGGCATCTGTGTGAAAGACAAGAGACATGAGCAAGGTGTTCATCTCCAGCATCATCTCTCACTCTGTTTATTCTCTCTCCTGCTCTGATCATTTCTTCTGGAGAGAGCATCAGAGCACTTTGCAGTGAAAATGCATCCACTTCCATTAGAACTGGCTCATGGTATCTGACTTCATTCATTCATTTAACTCAACGTACCTTCCACGATTCCACTGGCATCTCTTGATACTCATTGCTCATTGGCTCCTCCAGCTCTTGCACCTGGTAATGAATTTTGTACTTTTAGGAACAACGTCTCAGTATTTGGACAAAACATTCACAGCTAATAAGCAAATGAAATGATTGAAGTCAAGTTGTTACCTCAGTGACTGGGACAGCAGAGCTCTCCTGAAGGCAAATGAAGGCGAGCACGACGGCCACTGCAACTGCAACACTGAATGTCTTCATCTTAGGAGGGTTTGACTGCTTTAAGGTTTCAATTCTTTCACTCTTTTGATGACTCTTGTCAGCTCCTTTGACTTCTTCTCCTGTCTGATGGTTGAATGTGTAAAACCTGCTGCTATTTATACTCACTTAGGCCACTGTTACCTCATCACTGACAGCACCTACAGTACAGTAGCTGCTTTTAAGGACGGGCTTGCATCACTCTCTGAGGGATGCTGGGAAGGAGAATGGGAAATTCCTCAGCAGTGGAAATTAGAAATTCTCTATCTTTGTTTGTCTTTTCCAAATATCATGTTTTCTTGTAACTCTGCTGCAATAGTATCACTGATGTCCTGGTAAGGCCATTGACACAACACACAAAAAATGTTTCATGTTTTTTGGAAAAATATGTTTTGTGCATTGTGCGTGCCATTTATTTGTCATCAAAATAAAAAGTCCAAGTACAAATAATGCAACCGTGATGATAATGTGTTTGTCTTCGTCCTTATCTGTTCATTTCAAAAATGTTAGATAAACTTAAAATAGCAGATATTAAGAGAGCCAAGGAAAGAAGGGTTACCTATACACACACCAAACTTTTATATTTTTTTATTGTGTATTTATTCTTATACCTGTCAATAAAGGCACCCTAAGTGCAGCCTCTATATTTATTTATTCATTATATAGAATAAACTTCACGTTCCCCTCCAATATGTGAAGGAGAAACTGGGGTGGCTGCAAAAGTTGTTAAAAACGCAGATAGCCCTAATTATAGCCAGTGTTTGGTTTGTCTGCTCTGGGCTACTGTAGAAACATTGTTGTTCAACATGTTGGACTCCATGGAAGGCCACCCACAGCACCTGTACATATAAAAGGCTAATTGTAAGGTGATTGAAACACAATTCCTATGTTCAGGTGATTATGCACTAATGAATTCATACATATATATTCAATTTCTGCCAATAGAGCCTCAGAAATGTAACACACCGGACCTTTAAGAAAATTAAGTTTAATAAGCATCACCCAGGGAGTGATGCAACTAAGTGCTGTCAGTGATGAGGCAACAGTGGCCTAAGTGAGTATAAATACCAGCAGGTTTTACACATTCAACCATCAGACAGGAGAAGAAGTCAAAGGAGCTGACAAGAGTCACCAAAAGAGAGAAAGAATTGAAACCTTAAAGCAGTCAAACCCTCCTAAGATGAAGACATTCAGTGTTGCAGTTGCAGTGGCCGTCGTGCTCGCCTTCATTTGCCTTCAGGAGAGCTCTGCTGTCCCAGTCACTGAGGTAACAACTTGACTTCAGTCATTTCATTTGCCTATTAGCCGTAAATGTTTTGTCCAAATACTGAGACGTTGTTCCTAAAAGTACAAAATTCATTACCAGGTGCAAGAGCTGGAGGAGCCAATGAGCAATGAGTATCAAGAGATGCCAGTGGAATCGTGGAAGGTACGTTGAGTTAAATGAATGAATGAAGTCAGATACCATGAGCCAGTTCTAATGGAAGTGGATGCATTTTCACTGCAAACTGCTCTGATGCTCTCTCCAGAAGAAATGATCAGAACAGGAGAGATAATAAACAGAGTGAGAGATGATGCTGGAGATGAACACCTTGCTCATGTCTCTTGTCTTTCACACAGATGCCGTATAACAACAGACACAAGCGTCACAGCAGCCCCGGTGGCTGTCGCTTTTGCTGCGGTTGCTGTCCTAATATGAGCGGATGTGGTGTCTGCTGCAGGTTCTGAGGATTCCTGCTCCAGCCTGGGATTTACACAGCTACTACTTAATATTCATTTAAACTTTTTCAGTCAATTTTACAACATTTCCACTGTATTCCTGGTTGTAAATATCTGAGGATGTTACTGGATTTGGTCACGTGGTTGTTAATGTGTGCTCAGTGATATGACTGCATCATCCAAAAACTATGCTACATACCTGCAGATTGTCACAATAAACTTGAATAAACATATAATGAACATATTATGTGTGAACGTGTCCTTTTAACATTGTTTTTGTTTTATAATGAGCTGGTGTCAAGTGTGGAGATGGGCTGGCTAGAGGGTAGCATGGAGATTTTAAGGGGTGGCAGACATATGTATATGCTTTATTATATTTAATTGCAACCAATCACATATATTAAAATTTGATATTTTAGATATTTTAGCTCACATTTGTATTGCATTAAAATCTAAAGGTGACATTAATAAATTGTTTCCTTATCTTCAGACACATTTCCAAAAACACATCTATTTTCATTAAAACCCTACTCTAAAATGTGGCCATAACACATTATTATATTTTTTTTGTTTTTTAACATGTTACAAAACTGGGATGGCCAGGCATTTTTTAGGATGACAGCTGCCACCCCATACCACTTATCTAGGTCCACCCCTGCCAATTTTGCACAAAGATGGTCGTGTGTGATTAAATAATAATAATCATCCTCCATTGTATATTCTTTCTGAGTTGAATGTTTTAAAACATTTTAATTGGATTTGAAAGTTGAGTGATTGCTAAAATTTCTTTGAGAGTTTGAATGGAGGTTCTAGCTGAAAGTATGCATTTTTGAATTGTTAAGAATTGAAGATTCAAGAAAAACTGGGTGTAATGAACTAGGTAAATTAGTAAATGGCAAGGTAATGGAGTAAATTCCTATGTAATTGAGCAGAAGGCTAAGTAATGGAGTAAATGGATAGGTAACCGAGTAAATGGCTGGGTTACTGAGTAAAGGGCCAAGTACCTGGGTAAACGACTAGGTGATTGAGTAAACTGCTGGGTAGTCAGAAGGTTTATGATTCAAACCCCTGCTCCCCCAGCCTAGCAACTGGCTCAGTAATTGAGGCTGGGTAATGAACTAGGTAAATTAGTAAATGGCTAGTTAATGGAGTAAATTCTGCATAAATATTTTAGTCATTTAGTAAAGGTGATAGATAGGTAATGGCTAGGTAGCTAAATGAGAAGGTGGAGGTGGGCAGCATAGCTAAGTAGGTAGAGCAGCCATCTCATAGTCAAAAGGCTGATCCCTTATGACTTTGTATTCTGGTTTATGTGTGACAGAAATGTGGAGATGTATTTGACACACAGTTGAAAGAAAGGTAACTCTCACAACTGACACCCGATTATTATGAGACAAAACATTGTTAAAAGAACATGTTCACACATTATATATCAGTGAAATTGAACTTTATTATGACAAAACACAGTTGAATCTGAAGATATTAAACACAGTGTTTGGATGATTCAGTCACATCACTGAACACACATGTAATCCAGTAAAATCCTCAAATATTTACACCGAAGAGTACAGTGGAAATGTTGTAAAGTTGACTGAAAAAGTTTAAATGAATATTTAATAGTAGTTGTGTAAATCCCAGGCTGGAGCAGGAATCCTCAGAACCTGCAGCAGACACCACATCCCCTCATATTAGGACAGCAATTGCAGCAAAAGCGACAGCCACCGGGGCTGCTGTGACGCTTGTGTCTGTTGTTATACGGCATCTGTGTGAAAGACAAGAGACATGAGCAAGGTGTTCATCTCCAGCATCATCTCTCACTCTGTTTATTCTCTCTCCTGTTCTGATCATTTCTTCTGGAGAGAGCATCAGAGCAGTTTGCAGTGAAAATGCATCCACTTCCATTAGAACTGGCTCATGGTATCTGACTTCATTCATTCATTTAACTCAACGTACCTTCCACGATTCCACTGGCATCTCTTGATACTCATTGCTCATTGGCTCCTCCAGCTCTTGCACCTGGTAATGAATTTTGTACTTTTAGGAACAATGTCTCAGTATTTGGACAAAACATTCACAGCTAATAAGCAAATGAAATGATTGAAGTCAAGTTGTTACCTCAGTGACTGGGACAGCAGAGCTCTCCTGAAGGCAAATGAAGGCGAGCACGACGGCCACTGCAACTGCAACACTGAATGTCTTCATCTTAGGAGGGTTTGACTGCTTTAAGGTTTCAATTCTTTCACTCTTTTGATGACTCTTGTCAGCTCCTTTGACTTCTTCTCCTGTCTGATGGTTGAATGTGTAAAACCTGCTGCTATTTATACTCACTAAGGCCGCTGTTGCCTCATCACTGACAGCACCTACAGTACAGTAGCTGCTTTTCAGGCTTGCATCACTCTCTGAGGGATGCTGGGAAGGAGAATGGAGAAAATTCTCAGCAGTGGGAATCAGGAATTTTTTATCTTTGTTTGTCTGTTCCACGTTTCAATCATTAACATTTATATCTTTTATTGCAAAGGCAGTTCTATCACAGAGTGTATGGTTATACAGTACTTATTCTGCACTTCTAGTATCTTTCAGTTATATACAATAAAGAAGATGCATATCATACAATATTAAAATAACAGCAGATTTTGTAAATCCTTTCGTTTTCTTATACCTTAACTGCAATATATTGACACTGATGTCCTGGAATATGTTATCAATTGTTAATAGATCAGTGTCATATAAAATACAAGTCAGGGGCCAAGTGAATTTTCAGTAACTTCAGTCTTTCCAAAGAGGCCTATGATGTGCAATAACTAAAATCCCTGACTTTGACACCTGTGTCAACAAACAGCTCTACAGCTGTTGGATACATCTGACTATCCAGGCTTTAAAATAAATGTCATTGATGTGACAGAGAGCACAACCTTCAGCATCTATTGAAGATCATGTAGTCTCCAGACCTCTCAAAGCGCTGTACACTAAATTCAACACTCACCTATTCATACAATGATGACAAAGGCCATCACAAACAGAGAGTAATTTATTCAAACACATTCATACACTGATGCACAGCATCAAGTGCAATGTGGGGTTCAGTATCTACAGCTCAACACCTCTAAGACGAAGGAGCTGGTCATTGACTTTGGGAGGTCCAGACCAAGACCGCGACCAGTCCTGCTAGAGGGAGCTGAGATGGAGGCTGTGCAATCATACAAATACCTCAGGCTGTGGCTGGATAATAAACTGGACTGGACAACACACACCAGCCACCTGTACGGGAAGACACAAAGCAGGTTGTACTTCCTTAGGAGATTGGGGTCTTTCAACATCTGCAGCAAACTGCTGTGGATGTTTTACCAGTCTGTGGTTACCAGCGTCCTCTTCTACACTGTGCAGCATATCCAAGAAGGACACCTCCAGACTAGATAAAGCTGGACTCACTGGTGACGGTGGCAGAGAGGACGTCACTGGACAAACTGCTGGACATTATTGACAACGCCATCCTTTGTCCCTCATGCCATCATACTCTACAACTCCTCACTGGGGGGGGACGTACGGTAAAGAGGACAGAAGGGAAGGAGCGGTAGCCACTCACTGTGCAATAATAATCTACTCATACATACCTGGACACTCTTCTTCTCCTTTTTTGTGCAATAACTTAATCCACCGCTTAAGTGCTATAATTTAATTTAACTGCTAATTTCTGCTGATGTCATTTATCCACTGTATAATAACACAATGCCATATACAGTCCTATATATTTTATCTTTATTTATCTATATTTATCCTCTATACAGTTCTCTACATTTATTTTATTTTATTTTATTTTCTGTGAATTTTATTTTACTTTTATTCTTATCTCTACTTTCTATATTTAGCTAAGAGTTTATTGTTTACTTTCTATATTTAGCTAAGAGTTTATTGTTTATCTTATACTGTATTTTTAATACATCTTTTATTTTCTATACAAGTGTTTTGTAAGCTGCTGGAAATCGAATTTCCTTGCGGGAGTCATCCCAAAGGGATCAATAAAGAGAAGTCTAAGTCTAACTATCTTGCTCCAGGATACTTCAACATGCAGCGAGAAGAGCTGGGGATCGAACCACCAACCTTCTGATTAGCAGACGACCTGTTCTACCTTTTGAGCCACATGCCTTAATCTTTTTAAACTTTTCTCAATCATTCTTCTTCCTGTGTGGTTTATTAGTTAAATTGTGTGCATTTGGATGGAAACCCTGATAGAACAGAAGTCAAACAGAATCCTTTACCCCAAATGGTTGGCTAGTTTCTGTGTAATGTTATGTTAGCCATTAACCCTGCTCAACCAGTTATCAGTCTTTTTAAATATGGATTTAAACTTTTTTCCCCCAAAAAGACATCGATAGTTAGCTTGTGCTTTGGTTAGCACGCTAATTATGATAACAGAATTTACAGAATATGTTTTTCTCCAATGTGTGTAAATATGGAATTTATTTGTAACAGTGTCTAAATACTGACGCCAACTCATTAACACTGACTTTATGAAGTAGGTTCTTAGCTTCCATTAAGTTAATCACATTTGTTTGATTGAGTTTTCTCTCAGTCAACTCATTGGAAATTTGAGCTTCTGAACATGAAAAATACACATTAAGTCTAAATTATACTCAATATGCAAATATGATAACAATGTAAATACAACTGTTCTCATCAGCTGTACTTTGTTATTCTCCTGTTTTTAAGTGAGCTAAACTCTACAATACATTTTCTGACAACAAACATACAGACTGTATCATCACTTGAACAAGAAATAAGTTTCAGTCCCTTCACATATGATAGAAAGTATTTGGCACTAAAAACCCACCATATGTCATTTTCTGTTGTAGATGTAAACTGCACTTCATCTGACAAAATGCCATTAAACTCAGGACATCACCTCTTTTGGGATCTGTGACTGCATGCAGGTCAGTGGTGTTTTAATTTAGTTCATTTATTGTAAAATTGTGCATAGTCCTGTTTTTACACCCAACTGCAATGTTTTATGTTTGTGAAAATACAAAATTTCCACTACAAATGTTAGGTCTTCACTGTATTCTGGTTTGTGTGTGAGAGACATGTTAAACCAGGAGATGCATTTGACACACAGTTGAAAGAAAAGTTAACTCTCACAAGTCACACCAGATTGTTATAAGACTAAAACAATGGTAAAAGAACATGTTCACACATTATATATCAGTGAAATTGAACTTTATTATGATAATACACAGTAGAATCTGCAGATATTAAGCAGTGTTTGGATGATTCAGTCACATCACTGAGCACACATGTAATCCAGTAACATCCTCAGATATTTACAACCAGGAGTACTGTGTAGAAGCTGTGTAAATTCCAGGCTGGAGCAGGAATCCTCAGAACCTGCAGCAGACACCACATCCGCTCATATTAGGACAGCAACCGCAGCAAAAGCGACAGCCACCGGGGCTGCTGTGACGCTTGTGTCTGTTGTTATACGGCATCTGTGTGAAAGACAAGAGACATGAGCAAGGTGTTCATCTCCAGCATCATCTCTCACTCTGTTTATTCTCTCTCCTGCTCTGATCATTTCTTCTGGAGAGAGCATCAGAGCACTTTGCAGTGAAAATGCATCCACTTCCATTAGAACTGGCTCATGGTATCTGACTTCATTCATTCATTTAACTCAATGTACCTTCCACGATTCCACTGGCATCTCTTGATATTCATTGCTCATTGGCTCCTCCAGCTCTTGCACCTGGTAATGAATTTTGTACTTTTAGGAACAACGTCTCAGTATTTGGACAAAACATTCACAGCTAATAAGCAAATGAAATGATTGAAGTCAAGTTGTTACCTCAGTGACTGGGACAGCAGAGCTCTCCTGAAGGCAAATGAAGGCGAGCACGACGGCCACTGCAACTGCAACACTGAATGTCTTCATCTTAGGAGGGTTTGACTGCTTTAAGGTTTCAATTCTTTCACTCTTTTGATGACTCTTGTCAGCTCCTTTGACTTCTTCTCCTGTCTGATGGTTGAATGTGTAAAACCTGCTGCTATTTATACTCACTTAGGCCACTGTTACCTCATCACTGACAGCACCTACAGTACAGTAGCTGCTTTTAAGGACGGGCTTGCATCACTCTCTGAGGGATGCTGGGAAGGAGAATGGGAAATTCCTCAGCAGTGGAAATTAGAAATTCTCTATCTTTGTTTGTCTTTTCCAAATATCATGTTTTCTTGTAACTCTGCTGCAATAGTATCACTGATGTCCTGGTAATGCCATTGACACAACACACAAAAAATGTTTCATGTTTTTTGGAAAAATATGTTTTGTGCATTGTGCGTGCCATTTATTTGTCATCAAAATAAAAAGTCCAAGTACAAATAATGCAACCGTGATGATAATGTGTTTGTCTTCGTCCTTATCTGTTCATTTCAAAAATGTTAGATAAACTTAAAATAGCAGATATTAAGAGAGCCAAGGAAAGAAGGGTTACCTATACACACACCAAACCTTTATATTTTTTTATTGTGTGTTTATTGTTATACCTGTCAATAAAGGCACCCTAAGTGCAGCCTCTATATTTATTTGTTATATAGAGGCTGTGTTTACCTTAATTAAATTATGCATAACTAACAAACATAGCTTCATGATTTGTGCAAAATATGTAAAGATATGGTGCAATACACTGACATTATTCTATTAATCTCTCACACAAACTGGTAGGTCCATTTGTATCATTGTGTTGACCCTCGCTTCACGTTCCCCTCCAATATGTGAAGGAGAAACTGGGGTGGCTGCAAAAGTTGTTAAAAACGCAGATAGCCCTAATTATAGCCAGTGTTTGGTTTGTCTGCTCTGGGCTACTGTAGAAACATTGTTGTTCAACATGTTGGACTCCATGGAAGGCCACCCACAGCACCTGTACATATAAAAGGCTAATTGTAAGGTGATTGAAACACGATTCCTATGTTCAGGTGATTATGCACTAATGAATTCATACATATATATTCAATTTCTGCCAATAGAGCCTCAGAAATGTAACACACCGGACCTTTAAGAAAATTAAGTTTAATAAGCATCACCCAGGGAGTGATGCAACTAAGTGCTGTCAGTGATGAGGCAACAGTGGCCTAAGTGAGTATAAATACCAGCAGGTTTTACACATTCAACCATCAGACAGGAGAAGAAGTCAAAGGAGCTGACAAGAGTCACCAAAAGAGTGAAAGAATTGAAACCTTAAAGCAGTCAAACCCTCCTAAGATGAAGACATTCAGTGTTGCAGTTGCAGTGGCCGTCGTGCTCGCCTTCATTTGCCTTCAGGAGAGCTCTGCTGTCCCAGTCACTGAGGTAACAACTTGACTTCAATCATTTCATTTGCTTATTAGCCGTAAATGTTTTGTCCAAATACTGAGACATTGTTCCTAAAAGTACAAAATTCATTACCAGGTGCAAGAGCTGGAGGAGCCAATGAGCAATGAGTATCAAGAGATGCCAGTGGAATCGTGGAAGGTACGTTGAGTTAAATGAATGAATGAAGTCAGATACCATGAGCCAGTTCTAATGGAAGTGGATGCATTTTCACTGCAAAGTGCTCTGATGCTCTCTCCAGAAGAAATGATCAGAGCAGGAGAGAATAAACAGAGTGAGAGATGATGCTGGAGATGAACACCTTGCTCATGTCTCTTGTCTTTCACACAGATGCCGTATAACAACAGACACAAGCGTCACAGCAGCCCCGGTGGCTGTCGCTTTTGCTGCAATTGCTGTCCTAATATGAGGGGATGTGGTGTCTGCTGCAGGTTCTGAGGATTCCTGCTCCAGCCTGGGATTTACACAGCTACTACTTAATATTCTTTTAACCTTTTTCACTCAATTTTACAACTTCCAGTAATACTCCTGGTTGTAAATATCTGAGGATGTGACTGGATTTGGTCATGCGGTTGTTAATGTGTGCTCAGTGATGTGACTGCATCATCCTATAACTATACCTGCAGATACTACTGTGCATTGTCACAATAAACTTACCTTTTACTGATATATAATCTGTGAACATGTTTATTTTTTCTTATAATAATCTGGTTTCATTAGTGAGCGTTAACTTTTCTTTCAGCTGTGTCATATGCATTTACTGGTTTCACATTTATATCACACATAAACCAGAATACCAAGTTATAAGAGAGCAGTCTGATTCACCCAGAAGCACAGACATTTATGTGCTTATTTTGTAAAAAGGCAGAGTTGGTTGTGCATGATTAAATAATAATACCAACATAGCAAATTTCACACTATAGTTAGAAAGTGTTTTACGCTAAAGAACACCACAAACAATTGAACATGTTATAAAACAGAAATTAAATCACATAAAAGCCATTTTTAAAAAGTGGGTTTTAAACGGGGATTTAAAAGATGTTACTGCCCTGATCACCTATGGTCATTCCTATGTCTCGGAGACCAAACTGCTAACACTATCACCGTTGTGTATAAATCTGGACCTTGGAATAACCAAGTAAGTTTGTAAGTTACCAATAATAACTTGAAATAAATTCTGAAAACAACAGGTAGCTAGTGTAAGGAAGACAGGACGTCTGTAGCGATGCATCTCTGTGTGATTGACCCTTACACATGTCTCCTGTGTTGCTTTTACTGCGGCTGCAGCACCCCTGCTGTCCGTGGAGAGTGCTGCTCCAACAAACGCTAACGTTTTGTTTTAAAGAACCACTGTGTAGGATTTAGTTGCATCTAGTGTTGTAATTGCAGATTGTACCCTCACCCTCACCTCCCAAGTGCAATGGAGAAAGTATGGTGGCCATAAAAAATGTGAACAGTCCTATCTAGAGCCATGTGTTTGGTTTTTCCCTTCTGGGCTTCTCTAGAAACATGGCTGCTCAACATAGCAGCCTCCATGGAAGACATCCCGCTCCCTCTGTAGACATAAAAGATTCATTCTAAGACTGCACATTATATGCAGCAGCCTGTAGCTCCTTCAAACTTGCTACACTTGTTTAAATCTGTTCTATTTTTTTGCATTCAGTTGTGCATTATTGAAGGACTGTGATCTTCTGCCTTTATCACACACTTTTGAGCCATGTTGCAACATGGGGGTTTGATCCACATAGTGCAATAACAAAAATCTCCCAATGTACTTTCGTTTTGAGTAAAAGGTAGGGGAAACAATATCCAATGCACAGTTTACAATTGGTGTTTACTGTCCTTGGTTTTCCAGGAAAAGACTGTGGTGAGACATTTAAGAAAGCAATAGAAGAGCAAAGATAAGACAGACACAAGTGGACCAAGAGAAACAGGTTATATAATAGAAGTACATCAGAGGTTACCTGTGCACACTCTGCCCAATTATTGGATTCTGATCTTATTGGTATATTGGTTTTTGGGGGTTTTTTTATGACGAGGCTCCAACATTGTGCAGCCTTTAATTTGACACGGTCTAAGTGCAGAACCATCACACATGATGACCCACTTCATTTAATCACACACAACCAACTCTGCCTTTCTGCAAAATAAGCACATACATATCTGTGCTTCTGGGTGCGTCAGATCCCTTATAACTTGGCATTCTGGTTTATGTTTGACATAAATGCTAAACCAGGAGATACATTTGAGACAGCTCAAAGAAACATTAATTCTCACAATAGGCACAGATTATTATAAGACTAAAACAATGTCAAAAGAACATGTCCACACATTATATATTAGTGAAATTCAAGTTTATTGTGATGGTACATTGTAGTATGTGCAGAGATTTAGTACAGCTTGTGGATGACGTATCACTGAGCACACATGAACTCCAGCAAATCCAGTAACATCCTCAGATATTTACAACCAGAAGTACTACTGAAAGTTGCAAAGTTGGTTTAAGTGAAAAAAAAATGAATATTTAATAGTAGTTGTGTAAATCCCAGGCTGGAGCAGGAATCCTCAGAACCTGCAGCAGACACCACATCCCCTCATATTAGGACAGCAATTGCAGCAAAAGCGACAGCCACCGGGGCTGCTGTGACGCTTGTGTCTGTTGTTATACGGCATCTGTGTGAAAGACAAGAGACATGAGTAAGGTGTTCATCTCCAGCATCATCTCTCACTCTGTTTATTCTCTCTCCTGCTCTGATCATTTCTTCTGGAGAGAGCATCAGAGCACTTTGCAGTGAAAATGCATCCACTTCCATTAGAACTGGCTCATGGTATCTGACTTCATTCATTCATTTAACTCAACGTACCTTCCACGATTCCACTGGCATCTCTTGATACTCATTGCTCATTGGCTCCTCCAGCTCTTGCACCTGATAATGAATTTTGTACTTTTAGGAACAACGTCTCAGTATTTGGACAAAACATTCACAGCTAATTAGCAAATGAAATGATTGAAGTCAAGTTGTTACCTCAGTGACTGGGACAGCAGAGCTCTCCTGAAGGCAAATGAAGGCGAGCATGACGGCCACTGCAACTGCAACACTGAATGTCTTCATCTTAGGAGGGTTTGACTGCTTTAAGGTTTCAATTCTTTCTCTCTTTTGGTGACTCTTGTCAGCTCCTTTGACTTCTTCTCCTGTCTGATGGTTGAATGTGTAAAACCTGCTGCTATTTATACTCACTTAGGCCACTGTTACCTCATCACTGACAGCACCTACAGTACAGTAGCTGCTTTTCAGGCTTGCATCACTCTCTGAGGGATGCTGGGAAGGAGAATGGGAAATTCCTCAGCAGTGTAAATTGGAAATTCTCTATCTTTGTTTTTTCCAAATATCATGTTTTCTTGTAACTCTGCTGCAATAGTATCACTGATGTCCTGGTAATGCCATTTACACAACACACAAAAAAATGTTTCATGTTTTTTGGAAAAATATGTTTTGTGCATTGTGCGTGCCATTTATTTGTCATCAAAATAAAAAGTCCAAGTACAAATAATGCAACCGTGATGATAATGTGTTTGTCTTCGTCCTTATCTGTTCATTTCAAAAATGTTAGATAAACTTAAAATAGCAGATATTAAGAGAGCCAAGGAAAGAAGGGTTACTTATACACACACCAAACTTTTATATTTTTTTATTGTGTGTTTATTTTAATACCTGTCAATAAAGGCACCCTAAGTGCAGCCTCTATATTTATTTATTATAGGGGAGCCAATGAGCAATGAGTATCAAGAGATGCCAGTGGAATCGTGGAAGGTACGTTGAGTTAAATGAATGAATGAAGTCAAATACCATGAGCCAGTTCTAATGGAGGTGGATGCATTTTCACTGCAAAGTGCTCTGATGCTCTCTCCAGAAGAAATGATCAGAGCAGGAGAGAGAATAAACAGAGTGAGAGATGATGCTGGAGATGAACACCTTGCTCATGTCTCTTGTCTTGTCTTAAAATAGCAGATATTAAGAGAGCCAAGGAAAGAAGGGTTACCTATACACACACCAAACCTTTATATTTTTTTATTGTGTGTTTATTGTTATACCTGTCAATAAAGGCACCCTAAGTGCAGCCTCTATATTTATTTGTTATATAGAGGCTGTGTTTACCTTAATTAAATTATGCATAACTAACAAACATAGCTTCATGATTTGTGCAAAATATGTAAAGATATGGTGCAATACACTGACATGATTCTATTAATCTCTCACACAAACTGGTAGGTCCATTTGTATCATTGTGTTGACCCTCGCTTCACGTTCCCCTCCAATATGTGAAGGAGAAACTGGGGTGGCTGCAAAAGTTGTTAAAAACGCAGATAGCCCTAATTATAGCCAGTGTTTGGTTTGTCTGCTCTGGGCTACTGTAGAAACATTGTTGTTCAACATGTTGGACTCCATGGAAGGCCACCCACAGCACCTGTACATATAAAAGGCTAATTGTAAGGTGATTGAAACACGATTCCTATGTTCAGGTGATTATGCACTAATGAATTCATACATATATATTCAATTTCTGCCAATAGAGCCTCAGAAATGTAACACACCGGACCTTTAAGAAAATTAAGTTTAATAAGCATCACCCAGGGAGTGATGCAACTAAGTGCTGTCAGTGATGAGGCAACAGTGGCCTAAGTGAGTATAAATAGCAGCAGGTTTTACACATTCAACCATCAGACAGGAGAAGAAGTCAAAGGAGCTGACAAGAGTCACCAAAAGAGTGAAAGAATTGAAACCTTAAAGCAGTCAAACCCTCCTAAGATGAAGACATTCAGTGTTGCAGTTGCAGTGGCCGTCGTGCTCGCCTTCATTTGCCTTCAGGAGAGCTCTGCTGTCCCAGTCACTGAGGTAACAACTTGACTTCAATCATTTCATTTGCTAATTAGCTGTGAATGTTTTGTCCAAATACTGAGACATTGTTCCTAAAAGTACAAAATTCATTACCAGGTGCAAGAGCTGGAGGAGCCAATGAGCAATGAATATCAAGAGATGCCAGTGGAATCGTGGAAGGTACGTTGAGTTAAATGAATGAATGAAGTCAGATACCATGAGCCAGTTCTAATGGAAGTGGATGCATTTTCACTGCAAAGTGCTCTGATGCTCTCTCCAGAAAAAATGATCAGAGCAGGAGAGAGAATAAACAGAGTGAGAGATGATGCTGGAGATGAACACCTTGCTCATGTCTCTTGTCTTTCACACAGATGCCGTATAACAACAGACACAAGCGTCACAGCAGCCCCGGTGGCTGTCGCTTTTGCTGCAATTGCTGTCCTAATATGAGGGGATGTGGTGTCTGCTGCAGGTTCTGAGGATTCCTGCTCCAGCCTGGGATTTACACAGCTACTACTTAATATTCTTTTAACCTTTTTCACTCAATTTTACAACATTTACACTGTTACTGGATTACATGTGTGCTCAGTGTTGTGACTGAATCAATCAAACACTGTGTTTCATATCTGCAGATTCTACTGTGTATTACCATAATAAAGTTCAATTACACTGATATATAATATGTGAACATGTTCTTTTAACATTGTTTTAGTCTTACATTGATCTGGTGTGACTTGTGAGAGTTAACCTACTTTAACTGTGTGTCAAATGTAGCTCCTGGTTTACATTTATGTCAC